TAACACTATCCATTTGCTCCCTGGCCAGAACTGGTGTTTCCTTCAGGAAATGCAAACGGACATTTCCGTTTATGTCTATGGTGAGCACAGAGGAGAAGAGGAAGATGAAGAGGAAGAAGGAGATTTCCTGGGAGACCTGGACGGGGGTGGTATCTCTTCCGCTCGCTTTCATTAAAGCGGCAAATTGGCATCCCAGAGACCCAAAGCCCTTAGATCCCCCTGCTGATGTGTGCTCTGCTTGTTCTGAACTTTCTCCTTTGCTCTGTTTGTCTGTCTCTTTCTCTCTCGTTCCGTTCTCCTCTTCCTATGTCGTGGGAGGGTGAAAGAGGAAGGGAGGGGGAGAGCGGGGTGTTTTGATCTCCATCCAGGTTTTGTCTCACTGTCTCCGAGAGGAAGCTGTACTACTGCTGAATATCATTTCTCTTTCTCTCTTTCTGCCATGCCTATTTTCTCGGTCTTTCTTGTTCAGTCTATCCCTTTTCCTTTCTATCTCCCTGAGCTACCTCTGTTGTAGTTCACAGATTACTTGTAGGTGGCGTGTGGACCAGCAAAATGGAACAGTACAAGAATGAAGAGGCATGTGAATCTAAGCAAAGGTGAGCATTATGAATATTACTGCATAAAGCTTAGGTTAGGGATTTGAACAAAACACTAACCCTAAGTATTAAACTTGGACGTCTGTGAAAAAATTCTCATGCCATACCTAGAGAGCTAAGTAACCATCTAACAACATCATAGCAACACTCAGAACACCTTTGCAACCACAACTGGCCCGCACCGTTTGCACAGGTTATCAACTACTAACAAGTAACTAGAAAATGTGCATAGTAACCAACTTTATGCCACAAGGGTCATCAAATGAGCTGGACTTGTGTTGAACCTGGATTATTCCTTTAATTCTCATGCTGTTCCAAACCCCTAAGACTTTTTTCAGTAGAACACAGAAGAAAACCTTTTGAAGAATCTTCATGCAGCTCTTTGCCATACAACAAAAGTTCTATCAAGCTCCAAAAAGAACAAAAACTCATATAATAAAGCACACAATATAATAAAATCTCATCTACAATGTCACCAAAATGGCACCTTGACAGACTGTCAAGCCTGGATTGACGTTATTGGTTCCCAGTTGTGTTGTCATGACTCTGAATACAATGCACAAATCATATGGACTTCTTTATGGTCTTTTGTCCTTTCTAGACACCTGTCAATTAGGCTTTTGTTAACTAAGGGCCCCTGTAGCATTACCGAGGAGTTTGCCTTGGTAACTGTGACTACATTTTTCATTTTAGCTGCACTCTTTTTTCTTGCCTGGCTGAGCATCTGCTTTTCCTCAGGCCTGTTGACGATGGTACAAAGAGATGCTAGCTCCAAAGAACTGTCAATGTGTACATATGGTCTAAAAGAACATTTTCCGTTATCCATTGCTGGATGCAAGTCTGATAATGTTCCTTTCACTGTTGGGCGGAGATCATTGCTGCATTTTGTCTTTATGTTAGGTTTCTTCACTACAACTTTGAGGACATTCATAACCTTTTTTTTGGGCCCAGGCTTTTTTTTCTCTTTTACTTTGTCATCTTCTGTTTGACTTGAGAGGTCCTCCTGTTTGTTTTTGAGTGATGGCCGCCTGCCTCGTTTTGGTTTTATTAGTGGTGAGTATAATTCTGCTGGTGGCTCCTCATACTGTGTCTGTTCACCTGTTTCTGGTAAAGAGAAGGAGTGAGGAGGCTCCATGATGGGGATGCTTTCTGGTGGTTCAATGCCTTTTCTTCTCCTCTTTCGTTGCTTCAGATGCATCTCATGGTTGTTTTTAATGGCTCTCTGTTTGGCTAGCCTTGGTGTGTTGATAACGAGGCTCCCGGCCTCCAGGGCTACATCTGGTGCATCACTGCTCTCTACAGTGGCCCACTTTCTCCTCTTTTTCCTTGGAGTTTGAATTCCTGTATTTTGGGTCTCTTGTGTACTTATTGTACTCTCGCCCGCCTCATGAGTCACCTCAGGGGCATTCATTGTCTCTTTCTGCTCTGATACCTGTGGCAAAGGTTTTAATGTTGATTCTTCTGGTACAATATCTGGTTGAATATTTACAGGTTGCTTTTTGGACCCCGGAGATGTGATTTTCTGAACCATTGCCTCATATTTAAGTCCCCTGCCTTTCCGAGGAGGCAAATATTTGGTTTTAGTGGGACACTGAGGAGGAACAGAAGGCATGTCACTTATGTCATCAGTGGGAGGGTTATCAGTGGTCAAAGTGGTCCTTACAGATTTTACTTGTAAATGTTGTCCTCTCTTTCGCTTTCCCTTTGCAGTACAGACTCCTGTGACTGTATCTGATGGAGGCTCCTGTGTCTTCACTTCACTTTCTTTCACACCTTTCTTTCTCTTTTTGCTTTCTGAGGATGATAAACTGGATTTTCTTTTGATACAAACCACCTCTTCATTTTGTTGTTGAAGTGAGTCTGTAGAAACGTCCTTCTGCTTAGGTAATTCAAGATTTGAAGATTCGGTCTTACATGACTGATCCACGCTAATATCCTGTATTTGTGAGTGTATGAACATTGCTGAAGGTGTCTCAGCTGATTTATCATTCTCTTGCTCTTTAACTTCAGTCAGCTTTTCTCTTGTTTGTTTCCGTGATCTCAGCACCATGGACTTTTGGTCTCTTGCAAAGGACTTCACACAGCTGCTGTCTAGAGTAGATTCCAAAGTGGAACCCACAGTTTCATCCATAGTGGTGTCCATAACACCAACAAGTGTGTCCAAAGTTAATGCTGTGGTCACATCTTTCAAAATAAGTTCATGTGTACAGTGTGTGTCTTTGGTATGGTCTTTTGTAATCTGAACATTTTCATCTTGTTTTATTGATTTGATCTTAGAGGTGATTCCTCTTGGTCGGCCTTTAGGTACTGACCCCTCAATTGGCTTTGACTCTGTGGTGGTTTGACTTGGCTTTGGAAAAGGTATTTCTCTTGCCAAAGCTGCAGGATTTGAGCCTAGTTTAGAAACAGATTGAGGACCAGGTTTAGGACCTGGCTTTAAAGCAGGTTTTGGACCAGGCTTTGCATTTTCTGTGGGTCCTGTGCATTTTAAACTTGTTTTGGGGCCAGATTTTACACTGGGCATAACTTCAGGTTTAGGTCCTGGTTTTGGACCAGGTTTTGAAATTGATTTTGGACTAGACTTTGGTCCAGGTTTTAGATTTGATTTTGGACCAGGCTTTGGACCTGGTTTTGGACCTGGCTTCACACCTGGTTTTGAACCTGATTTTGGACCAGGCTTTGGACCTGGTTTCTTTCTCTCTTGAGGGCAGACTTTTGGGCTACTTTGTGAACCATAGGAGCGAGTGCACATCCTTGATGGTAAACTCTCTGTCACAAGTTTTGGTGTTTGACTGCTAATATCCTGGTGGGCAGTTTCCAACTGATCAAGAAGAAGGGTGCTTTTGCTGGAGGGCATACTGGGATTTTTGGCAGAAGGTGGAGCACGGTCTCCTTCTACACTTAGCTGCCTTCTGATTCCCACACTTGAATGCATTAGTCTTCTCCTGCCCCGTGCATGTTTCTTACCGAACATTCTTGTATGTGCAGATGGGGCCATAGGCTCTGGTTTGGCCGAGGGAGTCACTGCACTGGGACAGCTTATACCCAGTTCCATATCCTCATCCCCTTTTTTGGGAGAGGGTGGGGTGTCAGCCCAAGATGGTGCAGAGTGCAGTATTGACTTGCCTGGCAACTGAGGAGAGTCAGGCTCCAGTACCTTTGCATCACTACGATCAATGTGATGATCCCTAGCCTGAGCCAAAGGTGTTGTTTTCTCATTGAAAGCTGAGAAGCCAATCTTGGTAGTGTGAGGCTGAGGTGCAATGTCACATATGGCTGACCTCCTTTCGTTGCTTCTGTGTTGTGTGTCTTGGGCAATGCTTTCTGCAGTTTCTGTGTTGACTTGTGGCATGTTTCCCATCTCCTCAAATGTACTGCAGACTTCTGCAAAGGACTCTTGTGGTCTTTCTCTATTATTAATGACCTCCTCTGAGGTTGTCAGACTCTCCTTTTCATCTCTCACCTCAGTGGAATTATGGGAGAGGACAGACGGCTGCTCCTCAATGGTGTCCACTGGTCCCTCAGTGCATGTGAGGCTCTCAATGGAATTCCCAATCTTTGAATTTTCTTCTTTCTCCGGCAAATACAGATCAGTGCCTGAATTGCTGGGTGATGTTTTCACAAACATTTCAGCATTGGTCTGTGGCTCTGATTTGAAATTTTCTAACTTTATTTCTGTGCCTTCATTACATTTGTGATTAAGTTCAGAAAAACAGTCCATCTCCGCTGAGTTTTCTTTTTCTGAATCAAATTTGTTTTGCAGTCCTTGGTAGATATTTTCTTCTGTTTCGTATGAATAACCTTCCTCTAATACTGCTTTATTTATTTTATGAAAAAGAGAAGCACTTTTCTCATCCTCCAGCCACTTCTCTTGCTTTCCTGCAACCTCTCCTTTGCACTCATGCACTGCAGACAGCTTTCTTTGTCCAGTTTCCTCCTCATCAGTCATCCTCTCAGTCCATGCTGACTCCTCAAAGTTCTCCTTTAGAGTGCTCTCTGAACTCTTTATGTCTGGTGGTGAATTACTCTCTTGTTTCATAGGACTTGGAGCTGTTACACTGATAGGAGACCTCTCATCTCTAATGCAACGGAGAGAGCTGTTGGGCACTTCTCCAGTCAATACTCTCTGTACTCTTGGGTCACAGTTGAGATTATCCTCAGACGCTACACTCTGGAGACTTCGAACTGAGTCACCTGACCTAACGGATACATCATCAGCTGAGTTTAAGGAGCAAGTAGACACTGTGTCAAGGCTGAGATGTGAGTGTGTCTGGGTTTGTGCTTGACCTTTTTCCTGCCCAAAATAGTAGTAGCTCCTGTCCATCTGGTCCTCAGTGCTGTTAGAGTATCCTCCCTCCTGCAGTTCTGCTGTCATGGACCTGGAAATGGTGTAAGCATCAGATGGAGGAGCACCATGTTGGTTATCAGGACAAGATGACTCTTCCATACCCTTTAACTGACCTCTGAAGTCTTCTCCCTTTTTTGGATGATTTCGCTTGCTGGTCTTTTTGTTAGCCATAAGGGCCTCAGACAGCAGCAGATGCTGGACATTGTTGGAGATGTTTTCAACCTGAGACGTCAGGGCATTGAGGCTCCACAAACTGGGGTTGGACAAGAGCTTTTCCGAAAATCGTTCTTTCATGGAGCCAGAATAGCTCTGGGACTGGTGGTTCACACTGGGTGATGAATGAGTATGAGGGGGCATCAGCATATTTTGGTCTTGCAAACCTGTGGATGATGAAGCCCCAGGGTTGATGGGAGGTTGGCCATACTGGAATGAATCGGGGTTTGGCATTAAGGGGGATGGTGTGGAATTGTATGAGGGAGATCTTCCCACAGACCTTGCAGGTGAATGACTAGAACTAGGACTGCAGGTCTGGTAGTATTGTTCTGGTGACCTTACAGAAATATCTGTTATGCAGTAGTTTTGCTGGGGTTGATTGTAGTGCTGGAATTTCTGAAGGTTCTCTTGTGTACCAGACATTCCTTGCAGGGAACCCTGATCAAATCCTGATCTTGATGGAGTTTGCTGATAACCATAATTATTCTGAGGTCTGTATCCACTCTGCTTTAGACTGTTGTGATTGCTGAGTTGTCTTCCATACTGGACATTAGGTGGTATACCATAGCCTTTGTAGCCATGTGGCATTGTATTACATTTCTCCATATAAGATGACGAAGATGAAGACGGGGGTTGTGAGTGCTGAGGGAAATGAAGGTGACCCTGTGGATACAGTAAAGGAGATGGTGCTGGATTGGGTGGGAGGCCCTGTTGATGGGGACTTGTATAGGTTGGGGCAGAGGACTGCGAAGGTAGATGGCACTGACTTTGAGAGATAGCTAGCATGTTCTGCTCTAGATACTGGGATGACCCACTGACCCCAGACTCCAGTCGTCCCATGTCCTGCTCAAATTGGGTCATCTGAGGTGACTCATCCCATTTTTGCTGCAAGTGACCTTCACTCATGTACTGGGTTGTGTATCCAGTGCCCATGTGATTGCTGTAGCCAGCCTGCAGATGCTGGTTTGGAGTTTTGGCTCCTCTATAAGTTTTTTTAGTCTGAGTACCACTGGTGCTGGTGTAGATGGGATAGGTCTGCTGTCCATAACAATCTTTAGAACCCACTCCCTCTGTTGACATCCCTGCAGCAGCTAGAGAGTGTGGCTCGTAGCCCTGTCTGGACTGGCTGTGATGATGTCTATAACTCTCAAGGCGCGATAATTCTTGGGGTTCCTGCTGGTAGCAGTGCTGGTTGCCATGGAAACCACTTCGCTCTCTGAAGGACTGCATGACTCCAGCTACGGGGCTCTTTGGAAAGAGAGAGAGAAAAAAATAGAAAGAGAGTCTGTGCTTAGTGGCTTCATTTTCTTATCAGTGATTATTCTCTAATTCAATTAATTTGAATTCATTGCTGTATTTGCCCTAAAACAAGTCATATTAGAATATACAGGTATTCGGTCATTCATAAAATCAAATCATATATCTCTCAATGAGACTATAAAATGTTACTCTCCCTTACTGCAGCTGCAATCAATCATTGTTGTATTTTATTGAATCTAGGAATTTGAGCCTATTTGTTCTGCATTTTGGTGGTATCATCTTCTGTGGTAAATACCTATGATAGGTGCAGCATATTATTATTATTATTATTATTAATTTTCTTAAACACACGTCTTAAAAAGATGTGTTCACAAGGACCATGGATACAAACAAACAAAGCATTTTATTATTGGTTCATGAAGTGTTATATTAAAATAAAACCAGCATTATATTCAATATCGTGCATGTGCAATAAGAGGATTCTATTATTAGTGTTACTTTGTTTTCGATCTGCGCTATTTGCATATTTCTTGCTCAGTAATTTGATACAGTTGATAATGCGATTTTCTGGTAATATTCTTTTCTCTCAACAGTGAGTTTGAAGTAGCAAGTGTGTGTTTTGTAGGCATAGATGGAGGCTGTTCTATTTCTCCACTCCAGTGCTGTAGGCCTGTCGAGGGATGGCCGCCCAGTCCCATCAGACACACACATTATTCATCTCACTAGCGCACTGTCTGAAGCCATCAGGCCCAAGAGCAACGTGCTCCCCTCTTAGTAGCCTCCCAAGAGGCCCCACCATCCACCACTGCTTCAGTTTTGCTTGTTTGCTGCTCTGCTTGTTTACACAGTGACCCAAATAGGACCACTCGGGATCTATGCTTTAAGCCATTAAAAATGCATACAGTATGTGGCGGAATGTACAAGCTGGCCAGAATGTGCAAGTGACATGATTGATCCTGCTTTCCCTTCCACATATTATTGCAACTGCACAATGTGGTGGATTAATATGTTTAAGTTAAACATTAAATTTGTTCCCATACAGATTTTTTGTGGAATCATTGGCATTCAGATCATCTTGTTTGAACATACTTCATGACATCCACTGCAGCTGATTAAAGACTTGTGTGTTTTCTAGGTCTGCTGAGAGGGCAGAATTGGTCTCCTGGGGTGCCCAATAATGACAAAGATACTCTTACTGTAGAACTAACCATGACTGTACCAGCATGGACTGGCCCATATCCAAAATGAGTCGAAATCTATGGCTATATTTCTCAGACTTAGTTTCTGTAGTGCTACAGAGTAGGTGTGAATTGATGCCAACTTATTAAAGATACATAGGTAAAAATTCTATTCCTGTTTCTTGATTTGTAGGCGCTGTTTGCAGTATTTCTTCTTCATGTTGTATTTTTGAGGCTTGTTGATGCAGAAACAGAGACTGTGGAGGAATATGTTTAAGCCAGCTGTGAGCTCAATGAGCTTCTACGTACTTTGAGGCAGAATTCCCCATGAGACCTTTCATTACAAAATGCAATCATTCATTAACAGTAGAGTGACTGCATGTATAAACAGAGTATGCTCTGTTATGTCTGCATGTGTGTTTATCTCAACCTTTCCTTGATTACATCAACTCTGGAGGCAGGTTTCACTCTAACTCTCAGATTGAGTGTTGGACAATCATGTCTCAATTATGCATTTCCTATGGATTATGTAGGGGATGTGCAAAGGTCTCTTAAAAATATCTAAAATACATACAAATGCTCACAGTCTAAGTGAGACATATAAGGGCTTATTTTGAGTCTTTTATGAATAAGGCAATGTAAGTGACAAATGTTTGAGAGAAATATCATTTATGAATGTAATTTATTAGTCTAAAAATTATTATTTTTTTAGTTCCATTCTATTAACAATACATTTCACTAAACATTTGTTTATGTCCACTACAGTCACTTATGATGTTCTAATTTAATTTGGAGGCTGCCTATGAAGGCTTCATACAGTCAAGCAGTGGTGGATTTAAGCATGGGTGACGTGGGCAACTGCCCAGGGTGGCAGGGTGGCACTGGGCGCCCACGGGGGAAAGAAAAATGCACAAAAGCACAATCCTAGTTTTACTGCTCATTTGCACATCAGGTCAATGATGTCGCTGTGTGGGTCAGTTAATCTGGTTGGGACACTGGGAGAAATACCAGGGGCCTAAATTAGGAAAATGAAGAGGGGAAACGTGAAACAAATAAAGGTATGTTTGCAGCTATCACTCATCTCGTTATGAGTATAATATTATGCATATAATAAAATAGGCCAATATCACTTACCTTTTGCTATGTTGCTTGCTATGCTATTACACATATGTAATCTTTTAAACAAATGTAATATCTCTCATTAATGTTTTTACTGGGCACTTGGGCAGTTTTGGAGGGATTTATGGTATTTTTTTATTTACCTCAATTTGAGATCATTAAAAAGAATAGCATTTTTTGAAAAAGTCACTTTAAAGAAGATCTACGTTTCTCAAACTAGATGAAATGAGTAAAACGTGTGCCATGGTTTAGTGAAAGATTGCTGCCATCTATTGGAAAAAAACTTTGAATTTATGAATTTAAAGGGGTCATATGATGTGATTTCAAGTTTTCCTAATAACATGATTGGCACTAGATGGCAGCAGAGGATTACTCAATGCCTCATATATCATTCCCAAATTTTTCATTTAGATTTATATTTAGACATTATCAAGTCATTATTAAAACATCAATTTACCACTTCAGCATTTTTTTTGTATATTTTTTTATTTATAATATATATATCTTTTTTGCAATCATGTCACAACTTTATGTGTGTGTGTGTGTGTGTAAAGGTGTCACTCCATTTGTGTGTATGTTCTGCATTGTAGTTTTTTTTTCTTCAAATTATGTAAGGGGTGGCAGAAGGGGTGGTTCGACCAGTGCGCCATACAAGCTAGTACCACCACTGCAGTCAAGATCTATATTAATACAAATTCCCTGGTTTAGAAAAACAGTGAAGGAATACTCTCACACTGATGGATCTGAGAAATAATAAACCAATAAACCAGCTCTCTGGCATTTTCTGAATCCTTCATAAAACAGCTTAGTTATGAGACTGAGGGGCATAAGGCGCAAGAAAGACAATCTGCACATAAGGAGCTTTCAACCAAAGCAAACACTGAGTCAGGAAAGAAGATGCCAAGGAAGAAGGAAAGGAGGTGGGAGTGAAGGTCAGGGTAGGGGGTCGATTCAATTTCATGCAGTCCGTTAAGGACATGAACTGAATTTGAGGACCAGATTTAATCTGCTTCCTGCAAGAACTGCACACACATACATACAAGTTAGATGCATTCATTTAGTAAAAGCGTACTTTACAACCTGAATCCAAAGGCAAATATGTTCAAGATACAATTGGGGGGTAAAAAATATTATTATATAAGAGTTTCGGTTTTCCAGAGATGGCTCATATGGCTTTGAATGGTTCACAGTGGACTGAAAGATGCTAATCAGATCGGAGGCTTTCAACTGGATTGTCTGTCTTGGCCAGGCATGAGGCCTATCTCTCGGAGATGTCATTTTGATTGACATCACTGCGGCTTTTTACTGAACTTTGAAAGAACAGAACCATACAGAGAAACAGCGGTCTCTGGAAAATAAAGGGTGAAAGGCATTGTCCGCAACAGACACCTGGAATGTCTGGAACATTCTGTTCTTCTTCACAGTATTTCAAGTGTTTACAATTGACCTATTACAAGACAAAAGGAGAGGTCAATAAAGAGTACACTATTATAGCTTTTAATTACAAATGAATCAGCTTCATGACTTCTCCAATTTAGTTAAAATGTCCCATGTACAATTTTCAATAATTTATCTTTGCAGTAAGCATTTCCATCTACATCATATAGTACACATTTGTATGGAAGCCCGTTTCCACCAATGAAAAAAAAAAAAGGTAATTGCGAGTTTTTATCTCACAATTTTGACTTTTTTTCTCGCAATTGCGAGTTTGCATCTCACAATTCTGACTAATTTTCCCAGAATTGCATGATATAAACTCGCAATTGCGTGTTATTCAAAGAAAAAAGTCACAATTGCGAGATATAAACACAATTCTTTATTTCTTTATTTCTCAGAATTATGACTTTATTTCTCAGAATTGCTAGTTTAAATCTCACAATTCTGAGAAAAAAAGTCAGAATTGTGAGATAAAAAGTCGTAATTACCTTTTTTATTTTTATTAAGTGGCGGAAACGGGCTTCCATATATTTGTATTCCATTACTGTTTTTGTTCAGGATGACGACACTTCACACAAATCACAAATCAATTTTAAATTGTACTTTTAAAAAAGAGTTTACTACCCTATTTGTGTCAGTAGTCATTGAAAAAAATACATGACTGCTTATAGATCTTATGTGATAAATGGATTACGTAAGATCTTCTCAGATGTGGCGATGTTCGACATAATTGCCTTTTTACTGACAACCTCATCATTCAAAAATCATGAGTCATAATATCAACAATGTGATAATGACTGCATCTGATTGCGGAAGCAGGCGATACTTTTGAATGACTTGCGCAGAAGACACAAATCCTCCAATTAGCTTAGAATTGCACTCAACGCTTTTTCCTCCAGAATACATTGAGTTATTTTGCTGCTTCCTCTATTAGGAGGCTGCAAAGCTTGCCCTTTAAATGCTGAAACCTGCCACCGTTGGCATGGCGACGCTAAGGGGAGCGAAAAAGCAAACCTGCCCTCGGTGCCTGGTGCCCATTTCATCTGTGCCAGCGGTGCCCAAGGCATCACACCTCAGGGGTCTGAAATAAGAGCTGTTTAGAGAGGGTGCGGGGTATGGCATGATGAGAGTCCTCTTCCTGTAAACGATTTTTGTCTGTGCATTAGAGTATGTGATACTAAGCGAAAGACGTGTGGTGTGTGTGTTTGTGTGCACAGGTAAATCAGGTCTAAAGCTCCTCTCCGAGAGCCCTAA